ATAAAGAATAGAAAATGGAAAAGTCCTTTAATATCACAGACCAGATCTCCGCCGCAGACACCTCCGTGACTCTGTATCCAGGACTCCTACCGTGAACCGAGGCCTTGGACGGACATGTCGGTCGCTTCTTCCACAGAAGTTCGGCGTGTCGGATGTAATGAAACATGAGGCGCCCTCCACATCACTTCCTAGGCGCCAATGATTGGTTTAGGCGCCAGTCGACTCGGCGAGAGGTCGAAAAAATGCCTGGAAGCAACTACTTCAAACCAGTCGCTTGTTTGGGAGGAAGTTTTAGGCAACACCTAGGTGTTGCCTAAAACTAAAGGCGCTCTCCCCATTCACACAGCTGTGTGAATGGGGAGAGCGCCTTTAGAGCGCGCGACACTAGAGCGCCGACGTTAGAGCGCGCGACACGAGGGCGCTGCGACAGTAGCGCGCTTGACGTTAGAGCGCACGTCACAAGAGCGCATGACCAGTTGAGCGCGCGACACGAGAGCGCATGACCAGTTGAGCGCGAGACACGAGAGCGCACGACCAGTTGAGCGCGCGACGCGAGAGCGCAAAACCAGTTGAGCGCGCGACGCGAGAGCGCACCCCAGTTGAGCGAACACCGCAAAATGTGTGACGTACCCGCGGCTCCACAGACAAAACAAAATTGTGCGACTCATCGGATTGAAGCATTCGGGATTTTTGATTGATTGAATGTGCCTTTAATAAAAAATAAAAATAAAACGGGTATGACTCAAAAATTTCTAACAAATTGTTTACTGAGATCGGCGAGAAAAGGGGGCAGGGGAGTGGGCTGGGGCATGTAGGTACCGGCAAAGTTTGCAGTTGAGGGGAGCAGCGAGTCTAAGATTTCTTGAAAGTGCTGCGGTGCGCCTCTCGCATATACTATAGTTTACTTTTTGCTATATTTGGTCTATTCTTGACAGACATTCGGGCTCCGATCCTTTTGGTGGCTATTTAGACGTCCCTTGCATAAGTTTAAATGGTATTCTTACGTCCATGTCCGTAAAGAAGAAAGCTCACCGCTAAAAATGTATCAGTAAAACATTCGTCGAAGGAAAGCTCAGCGCAATTTTATCGGACGCAGATTTTTCAAGTCTTTCGACGGATACAGGAAAACCTCCCCTGCAAATCTGTGATATACAAGCTCAAAGAACTAATGAAGCTAGGTCAGCTGCATTGTTTTTTTCTGCGAAAATGCACGCTACAGTTACGTATTTTTTTTCTTTCTTCTCTCAGCTTTTTGTAACACTTCTTTGTTTGTCACACGCGAAAATTTCGTTGACTCATTTTGCAGTGTCATTGCTGAATTCTGCGGCATAAATCCCTGCCAATTATACATAAAACGCGCGATACCCGAACAAGTGGTCGGTCCGGTGGGGCCACTCGCGCTGGACTGGCTGTGCGCTCTCGTGACGGGCGCTCCCTTCCGCTAAGCCCCTCAGCTACCCGGAACTCTACAGCGAAAGCCATCGGCATGCAGGCGCAGTGGGGGTTTCTTCGTAGCGGAGGTGGAAACAGTGGGTCTACTAAAACTCCCTAATGTTGCTGCGCACTAGAGTCGCGCGCGCTAACGTCGCAGCGCTCTTGAGTCGCGCGCGCTAACGTCGCCGCGCTCTCGAGTCGCGCGCTCTAACGTCGCGGCGCTCTACTGTCGGCGCTCTTGTGTCGTGCGCTCTAGTGTCGTGCGCTCTAGTGTTGTACAGCCGCGTGAATGCGCCTGAACTTTGCCAGTATTAAACTTGCCATCATTTAATATAATTGAATCTTTTGCATCTGACGATATGTGTTGGGCATATCGTCAGACACACCCCGGGGTATGTCTAGAACAGTTTTGAAGCTGTTCTTTGACAGAACAGTTGGAGAGGGGGGGGGGGGGGGCTTATATCTTGGAGATTCGAAAACTGTGGCGGTAGTAGGCTAGAATGAAAGCCATTATGCCTCCTTCCTAGCTCGGTAGGTTTTCTTGGGGGCTAAGTGAACGGAAGCTTTGGAAGCCACAGGTTTTGTAATATTTGGTGCGCGTCCTCCACCATATTTCGGCCGGGAAGTTTTCTTTCCGCAGAATGTCTTTTGTTTACACTCTTGAGGGAAGTGCGTGTGGACGTAGAGAATTCCCCATCCATTTGTAGAGTTCGAAATCTTCATGGAATTGACTTATGCATTCTTGTTCCAAAGCTTGATGGCAAAATTAACTGACACAGTGTTGGCCACCATCTCAATAGGTTATAGTTTTTATTTAAGTAGTTTTGCTTGTTGCCTAACACATTATTTGCAAACATCCGAAAATTACGAATTACGAGAAAATCCTAATGTTCCTTGTTGCACCTGAGCATTCATTATAGCTTTGTTCTAAATCGTACTCGAACAGATCTTAGTTACTCCAGTGGATCATGTCACGGGGCAAGACAGACGCGGGTAGGTAGGAGAGCCCCGAGGTACTGGACGTTTACCCTAGAGTGAGAGGAAACACAATTTGGAACACCGCCAATGTCACACAGAAGCGAGAGAGGATTGCGCAGTTACTCGACTGCTTCTGTCCGCAAGTTAACGTTTCCTTTTTCCTTGCTGCTGTCTGCTACAGCCGGTTTTATACGGTCAGTTCTTGCCATACATTTGGGCTCGGCAGTGAGTCATCCATGCCTTGAAAAAATCGATGAAAGTGGGATTTTGTGTGATTGCAAGTGCCTAAATTGCATTTTGAACCCGCAAACTAGAGATGCGTACGCCGTCTCCTTTCGCCCTACGTGCTCCGAGCTACGATCCGTTAACACAATGGATCAGCGATGCCCATTTGAGGTACGTTGAGGGTTGTGGCTACCATTTAATGTCAGGACTTGAGATAGAGCTCAGGTGTCTGCAGAACGAGCTTTTCCGCCACTTGGACTGAGCCGTGCTGAGTTAACACACTGTGCCACCGATTCCTTATTTGAATACCGACTGTTGCACTGCCATGTATATTTGTATTTAATTTTCCTTTCTCGCGTAACCCCCTTAACAGTATGCGCTGCGCTAGCATATAACCTTTTGGTGTTATTTATGAATACTGGGAACCAGGCACGGTAGCCACGATTTTGTTCAGGGGGAGGGGGGCCCACCCATGAAAAAATGCTGTATGAGGGGGAGGGGGAGAGGTGGCCGCAGCAAAATGGAAGATTTCGGGGGGGGGGGGGGGGGAGGGCGGGCTCCGAGCCCCCCCCCCCCCCCCCCCCCCCCCCCCGTCCTGGCTACGAGCCTGCTGGGAACATATGAGCTTGATTGCCATTGTTATTATTACTGGGAAGGCTTAAATTAATTGCCTCATCGAATAATTGTAACATACATGTTGGATAAAATCACCATTGATCTGTGAATGATTGTGTTTGATGATTTACACTTGATATTGTACTAGGGGATTCTCTTGTAGCTATCTTTCTGAGTCTATTGGATACATATAAACAATTGACATCTTACGAGTTCAAATAACTTGTCAGTTGTATTTGTTTGATTCACAGTTGACTCTTGCGCTTTCATTGACTGGCCACCTGTTGCGTATATTGGGCGACCTAGGAGCCTTCTCACAGCAGTGAAATGGCCACAGCATTGCAGAACATTCAACGCCAATGAAGTCAGGAATATGTAAAGTGCAAGACTGGCAACTTGAGAACAGTCCATAGAAAACAGCCAATATCAGAATAAACTCTGCCCCTTTTGTAATGTATCAAGTAAATAATATGGGCTCAGAGCATTCAAAGCATATTTGGCACATGAAACAAGAAATCGACCAGCTGTTAAAGGCGATTGGATGATGTTAAAATGCAAGCATCTTAGAGCTAAGATTTTCTTCCCCACAAGTTACCGTATATTGTCGCGTAAAACTCGAGTCTGAATGAATACTCCCAAATTCAAAGCCATAAAAGAAAGGATACTCTTTATATATTTATATTTGAGATCCTAATTTCTGAAAAGTTCGACTGATACGCGGCAATATATGGTATTTGGAATGTTTCCCGCGCAGCCACTGGCTGACCACATGAAACCAGGGTACTCCAGGTGGATGTTTGAGATACTTGATTTTTTACTTAATTAATTAATTATCCCGCAAACTCTCCAACAAATCCCATAGAACCCACGGTGCTATCCCAACATTTTGTGTGGGTTAACTAAGCAACCCACACAACCGCTCACACCCCTCCACAGGGTCATGATCCTATCCCCACAGGGTGTGTAGTTCACCTACAGCAACCCGCACAATCTCCCACACGTCCCATATACCCACAGTTCCCTGCCCACAGAGATTTCGGGATACCCACGCAAACCTACAGGTGCCCCATAGAAGCCTGTAGGACCCCAGACAAATTCTCTATAGGCATTTAGACCAGGGCCGGCCATTGATAAGCTGTCGACGATCAGCACATTGTATGACCTGTCATGGCCCAATTATAAGTTCGTTTGCAGTTTTCTCTTTATTGTTACCTTCACTATCGTCACCTTTGCGCAACCTTTTTAAAATTATGTCAAATTATGTGGCGTGTATACATTGTGGTTTATTGTTCCCTCTACGCATGTCTAAATTGGCCCCGCCTGTGGAAACCACACGGACAGGTCGGCGCAATCTCACTTGTACCATTTGAAAATAAATATCTACGATATTCACCTATCGAAGGAAATATGTTGTCCGATTAAGTCAAACTAATCTGATAAAGATCAGTGAGGAATTGTGCAAAACACGTGTTCATGACTAGAACCTTGCAAGTGCCAACATTTGTTGTTATAGTTGGAAGTTTGTTTTAGTTAATATTGTAAATGTCGCGCTATCTTCATCGTCAATGAACTCCCTCAAGTGCCCCCAGCCTAACAAAGAAACAGGCAGATATTTCGTTTAGAGTTGCTTTGTTTTCTTTTCACTACTTATTTATTTGTATTTATTTTTTATTCAAAATAGGTGCAAGGAAAGATATTTAGGAAGGTCTGCAGAGCTGTTGATCACTGCTCTTTTTCGTCTTTCTAGTTCAATTGACTAATTTCCCTGGGGGCAGGGGCGTGGCTGCGTCAATCTCCGAACTATTTGCCCATTCATATTGAGTAAAGTCAGTGTATTCAGTAGATAAACAGAGACCTTCTGTTTTATCGCTTTCATGAAAGCATTTGCATTCTTCATTCTTATCAGAGCATGCTGTCCAACTTCCATCATCTTTCTGCGTGCACTGAAAATATAATGACAATAACAAGTTCAATTGTTATGTTAATAATCTGTTGTACAAGGCGTTCCGAATAGAAGCATTTTTTAAATATTTTTGCATTTTGTTATACTATCACTTCACATATCATTTTTGAATTAGTCCTACGTTACATATAAAGTAGCAAAATTGGTCACATATTGCTTGCTTCAATTTCTATCTCGCTGTTGAAATCTCAGTATTTAATTTAATATCACAGAATATGAAGTTTGCATTTTTTTCATACATACTAGCTAAATGCCGCCACTATATTACAAAAATATAAAGTTTTACTGTCTGGATCTATCACAATATTCTTCTTAAATTTAGGAAAATTAAACCAGTTGAAGACCTGCAAAAATGCAGACCACTCATTTCAGCAACTAAAAATGAAATTAAAAAAACAAACAAAAAACAAACGATTACAGTAAAATTTACAATACGGACGCTGCCCTGTGCCCCTTTTACTAATATTCATATATAGACACTTTTCTTAACATGTTGCGCTGCCTTTTGATTTATGCATACTTGTTACTCATTGTTTTGTAGTGTGCTTATGCTGTTTGTCTCTTATTTCTAGTTTAAAATTACAATGAATAGCACGAGTTCGCCTACTTTAAAACTAAAAATATATTTTCAAAATCGTTGAGTCGCGCATTGCCGGTAAGGTTGCTGTATTTTAGTCGAATGATCACACATTTTCCGCCACGATTGTGGCTCAAATAGAGGGCAAACAAGCAAAATATTAATTTCTAGTTCTTTTATAGTCGAGTACTATGTCTAAAATGATTTCAAAAATAAAAATTTACAAAAATGGGGTTTACGAGAAAATCGACTTCAAACTTCCAATATTTGTTATTTTTTCCTATTTCTTAAATACGTCATGGTATTTTTATATTACCTATTAGATGAGGGGGAAATGGTAAGAGGGTGTAGAAAAACACTAGCGCCAGCAGTGGGTGCCAAACACGCGACCTGCGACGGCAGGCACAAATACCAGTTTCTGCCACTGCGGCTTGTACGCTTCGTAACTCGTGAACAAAACATCTGGGGAAAATGCGGTTTGCGCCCTCCTTCATTTGAGAAACTCCCTCAAAACATATATATTTTCGTCAAAAATAAAATGAGATTTTTTTAGCCTGCCCGATTTGAGAGGAAATCACCCTGCTGTATTCTGCACGCACACCTATAGGACGCGGTCAATTACATTTATTAAAAAAGGATAGAATTAACTTGCATTCATTCCGCAATATTTTACAGTAAAAAGTTCGTCTTCGCTAATATCAGCATATGTTCCTGCAACAAATAATTGGATTCTGGAAACATGAAAAAAAACATTAGTTTAGAAGCACCCTTTAAACAACTCGTTGACCCACTGCTTTATCACCTTATTCTACATGTACTTCACGTAGAAATTTTACTAGCAATTTCGCATATAATAATGAAATATACGACAATTAACAGTATTTACAAGACTCAGTTGAACACATAAAGACAAATGTTAAAGAATTAGAATACACCTAATTATTATTTAATGTTGTAAACAATTTTGTTACCTTAAATCAGCATAGTGTTACAATTTTAAGCATTAAAGAACGTCTGAGTGTTTTGTCACTGTAGGATTTATGGTAGGGTCTAGTTCTAAGGTATCACGTCATGCTTTCGTGCCCATAGATCTCGACGTTCATCGTGCTTGTACCATACTTATTCAGGAATAATTTTATTGTTTATGTATACTGTGTGATTATAAAGGACGCATGCATTTAAAATGAGCCTTAGTTTTTTTTGTAATCGCACTAGTTAAGGTAGTAGATCGAGACAACTCAGGAGATGTTTCATTTAAAAAGTTTTGTTTCTTGTACAATTATAATTCAATCTGTCGCTTTATTCTCTATATTCAGTACTGTTCAAATTAAACGTGAATCATTCCACGTCATAAACATAATTACATTCATAGCAACAATCGCAGATTTCACTTTATAAAATGTTAGGCGCCATTACTTCTTTAAAATTATTTCAATAATGACATTGATGGCATTTACTTTTTACTGATTTGCAGTGTTTTTGAATGCAATCGCAAAAAAAAAACTATCTCCGGTGAACTGCCTTAAAACTCTCATGTAATTAAAAACACAAACTTGCTCGGTCACCGTCTAGAAATATTTTGCGGGAGTCACATATCTCACTATCAGCACATGATATAGAATTCAAATGCATGTATTTTATTGATATTCATTAAAGGTGGATAGAAGTCTGCGTAGGTTAAGAGATTTAGATTGCGGCTATAATGTAATAGGCGTATATGCTCTATAATATAACAGCATAACGGCCACGGTGCTAAGATTGGAGGAAAGAAAAAACAATGTAGAATATTGTCAACACACGCGATATGATCTACCAAAACCAAGAGGAAGGTATTCATCATCGTAAGAAAAACAAACAAACATGTGTTTGCACCTCTTTTAATATAAATCAATGCCTAGCAGTTAATTCATTTTGATACGATTTTTTCAGCATTACCCTGTGCTATTTAGTGGAAAAATGGATATGCTGATCCCAGCCACGGCTTAAATTTATAATTTTTATAACAACATATCTCTGTATCCTAGACAACCAAACTTAATCCGGATGCCAAACATTCATCATCATAGGTAGTTTAGCTGCATTGTCTATTCTAGAGACTACGCGAAGCGGAGGTCGCGGAAACTTATAATACTAAACCAGATAGTAAACAACGGAATATACTTCGAATCCAAAATACAAATAGATATTTCTGCTTTTTTGATGAGCTAAGTGTCCGAGTTCTGTCTATTTGAATTTTTAAACCAGAGGCATTTGTTAAAGGCACACTAGATGTGTTCTTACTTACCCAAGTGCAATAAACACTGTGATTTGAAGAAAGGCAAATGTTTTGACTTCCATTTCAAGACTTTTGAGAGAGCTCTGAAGGAGTGGGCTAAAAGCTCTACTTTTATACTTGCAAACGTGACACGTTTCGTGTTGTTTTCTTTTGAAACAAACTCAAGTTGACGACATACGTATATGACGAAAGCTTGCTCAGAAAAGCACAAGTTAAAAAAAAAAGCTTTCCGTTGACCTTTCCAACAGCGCAACTGTTTTGCTCCGTGAGGCATCCTTGGTGTGGCTCAATGAAGGAATGCTTTTTGCAGCCTTTTATAAATAACAAATAAACAAAAAACAATATCCGGCTTTCTTGCAACTACGTTTCCATGGCTTAGAAAGAACACGTGTGTGAAATAGAGCTGTGTAAATATCATTAATATCCCAACACTGTTATATCAGTAGACAAGCCCAAATAAAATAAGATGGAATTCTCGTTAACCCCTTGCCTACTCCTTTTTTCCTCAAAAAACGTAAAACAAAACGTTATTTTAAACAGAAGATTGGCATTAAAAAAGCCAAAAACAGTTCCTTGTCTTCCAGGTGTCATGTCTTGCTCAAAACCAGGACTTCTGGTCAGAGTCCAACTATAATGGAGTGCGTGCAGGATTAGCTGCGTTTTTGTCACTCCTGTAAAAGCCCAGCATATTATCGCCTGATTCTTACAAATAGGAAAGGCTAAAGGATTCGTTGTCAGATACGTCTTAGCATTAATCCCTTTAAAAAAACGAAGGCTTTGTATCTTTTTGTCGGCTAAAACGAATACCCGCATCAAAGCCATGTTCTTTTGGTGTGAACGCTCACACGCGACTACTTTTTTATTGGCTAATTGGAGCGTTCTTTCTCTGTCAAACAGCAAAACAAACGAGCAAACTACCCAAGGTAAATTTAACAACGGGAATGGTTTTGGCATCTGCCAGAGAGCACGCTAAAGAATCGCCGAAACCGAAACGCGAGTCACACTTGCAGTCGGGCTTATGGTTCATAAGGGGTGGCACGAATGACACTCGATATTAGTAGGCAACGGGGATAAAGCTCAATAAGTTTGGTCACAAAAACCACAATGCTAAATTGAATGACATTACCATACATGTTAAGAAAAATTTACATCATCTCATTTTATTTTTGACGGAAAATATTGTTGCTAATTATTTCATATGTTGGTTAAATTGGTTTTGGAATATTAAGCGTCCTTTCACGTTACTTGTAATTAAAATATATTGTGTTACTAAGAACACACCAATATTTACATCCTAATCATTTAGAGGGAATACAAAATAAGACACAATAGTTTGCAATTTTATAGTAGACATTAATGTGTAACTTTTTAAGAGTGGTAAGTAACGCTAAATAGTTTTGTTTTAACCTTTTGGGAGACCTTTCAATACATGGTTTAATATTATCTATTTAAAGCAAACACATATAGACATAGAAATTACTGTGCATAAGTTATTATATTTAACAATTTGATCGCTGACACTGAATGAATAATTCCTTTTGCTACCGGTTTAACTTTGAGACTGCTTTTGCTATATGTATCATTAGTTATTGGGGGCATATTAGGCGTAAAAAGCCTCACCATTGCAGAAAATGTAGATTAATCTCTTTTTTTCCTCATTTGGGTGTTTTGTACAAACTAGAATACAATGTCCAGAGATAAGTGAAGGAACAAAAATACATATGCAGGCCTTCATACCGACTTCTAGGTGCAGACTTAAGGTAGTGTATCAGTAGTTGCAATATGTGGTGTTTGCGTACTTTCTCTACAAGAAGTTTAAGCGAAATATAAAGATGTAGCTCTAAAAGGTTACACGACGTCCTAGCTGTTCAAGAAATTTAGTTTCGCTTTTAAGTATGGTAGGGAATTACACGTAAAGACAGGCCACACATTTCAGCGATCTGCGGTTACCCTTAGCAACACCTTCGCATTTTAAACATTTGTTTCTCGCGTTATTCAGCAAAACACACCAATCAATGGGGACACTGTTGACGGGTTTATACTTCGAGTCGGCAGTGCTCTAAAGTGGTGTGATGTCGGCTTGTAGGTATCACATGTAAACTTATTTCATATGTTATAAGGCAGTTTTAAGCATCAGTCGTAAATATAACCTAAGTCGATATGTATTGAAAAAAAAATTCTAACAGCGAACTACCTTTAGAGATTTACGTCATGAGCCCGGTCGCAATAATTAAAGCAATGAAAAGTAAACAGAAAACAAGTAACTGTTAGTCGCTCATGTATGTTTTGTAAAGTGAATATTACTTTTCTTATACGCATGCGAACAACCTGTAGTACTCAAAATAAATAAAATAGAGGAACACCAAGGGTAGGTAAGGAGATGTTTCCAACTTTAAATTCGTTTAGTTCAGTGTACTACAGGTTTTCCCGCTCATTTTAATCCAAGCGACGACCAATTTAATCCCGGGGTCACTCAATTTAATCCAAGCGCCATACAATTTAATCCAAGCGCCACACAATTTAATCCCGGGGTCAGTCAATTTAATCCACAATATAGATATATATATATGCACTCTTGGGGGTGTTCAGTGGTCGTGTTTCTCTTACACATTTGGTAACTTAGAACAATTGTTTATACAATTAGAATTTTTGGGGTGCAATTGAGAATTTGATCACTAATGTGATTACTTTGAGTTACTAGTCCCACTTTTGACAAGGCTTAACTGATATGTTGGTTACTATTTTTAGAGCGCAGCTCTTAGGTACCCGTTTCCGACTTAAGCGGCGTCCGCGTCGCCGCCGCCGTCGGCGTAACCACGCGGTGAATGATGGGTAAATTCCCCCGCTAAATATAGCAAAAAAATTTCCCTGCTAAATCTAGCGGAAAACTTTTCCTGCTAAATCTATCGAAAAATTTTCCCAGCTAGATTTAACGAAAAATTTGCCCCGCAGATGCTAGTGGAAAATTTTCCCCGCTAAGTCTAGCAGAAAAGTTTCCCCGCTAAATCTAGTGTAAACTTTTTCTCGCTAAATTTAGCGGAAACTTTTTTTCCCGCTAAACCTAGCGGAATGTTTTCCCCGCCAAATCTAGTTGAAAATTTTCCCCGCTAGATTTAGCGAAAAATTTGCCCCGCAAAGCCTAGCGGAAACGTTTCCCCCGCTAAATCTAGTGGAAAATTTTTCCCGCTAAAGCTAGCGGAAAATTTTTCCCGCTAAATCTAGCGGAACAATTTACCAGCTAGATGTAGCGAAAAAGTTTCCCCGCTAAGTCTTGCGGAAAAGTTTAACAGCTAGATCTAGTGTAAAATTTTTCCCACTAAATTTAGCGGAAAATTTTTTCCCGCTAAATCTGGCGGAAAGTTTTCCCCGGTAAATCTAGCGGAAAATTTTCCCAGCTAGATTTAGCGAAAAATTTGCCCAGCAAAGTCGAGCTGAAAAGTTTGCTCGCTAAATCTAGTAGAAAAATTTTCCCGCTAAACCTGACGGAAAATTTTCCCCGCTAAATCTAGCGGAAAAATTTCCCAGCTAGATTTAGCGGACAATTTTCCCCGCTAAGCCTAGCGGAAAATTTGCCCCGCTAAAACTAGTGTAAAATGTTTCCACTACAATTAGCGGGAACATTTTCCCGCTAAATCTAGCGGAAAGTTTTCCCCGCTAAATCTAGCGGGAAATTTTCCCAGCTAGATATAGCGAAAAATTTGCCCCGCAAAGTCCAGCGGAAAAGCTTCCACGCTAAATCTAATGGAAAATTTTTCCAGCTAAATCTGGCGGAAAATGTTCCCCGCTAAATCTAGCGGAGAAATTTCTCAGCAAGATTTAGCGGAAAATTTGCCCCGCCAAGTCTAGCGGAAAAGTCTCCCCGCTTAATCTAGTGGAAACGTTTTCCCGCTAAATCTAGCGGAAATTTTCCCCGCTAAATTTAGCGGAAGAATTAACCAGCTAGATTTAGCGAAAAATTTTCCCCGCTAAGTCTTGCGGAAAATATTCCCCGCTAAATCTAGTGTAAAATTTTTCCCACCAAATTTAGCGGAAACTTTTTTCCCGCTAAATCTAGCGTAAAGTTTTCTCTGCTAAATCTAGCGGAAAATGTCCCCGCTAGATTTAGCGGGGAAAATTTGTCGCTTAATTCAGCGGGGAAAATTTTTCCGCTAGATTTAGCGGGGAACATTTTCTGCTAAAGTTAGCGGGGAAACTTTTCCGCTAGATTTATCGGGGAAAATTTTCCGCAAATTTTAGCGGGGAAATTTTTCCGTTAAACAGCGAGGAAAATTTCCCGCTAAATTTAGCAGGAAAAATTTTTCGCTAAATTTAGCGGGGACATTTTTTCCGCTAAATTTAGCGGAGAAAATTTTACGCTAGTTATAGCGGGGAAAAATTTCCTCTAGGCTTAGAGGGGCAAATTTTCCGCTTAATCTAGCTGGGAAGATTTTCCGCTAGATTTAGCGGGGGAAATGTTCCGCTAAATATAGCGGGAAAATTTTCCACTAGATTTAGCGGAGAAAATTGACCGCTAAATTTAGCGGGATAATGTTCTGCTAGATTTAGCAGGAAAAACATTCCGCTAGATTTTGCTTAAAAATCTTCCGCTAGATATAGCGGGGAAGCTTTTCCGCTAGACTTTGCGGGGCAAATTTTCCAATAAATCTAGCTGGGAAAATTTTCCGCTATATTTAGCGGGGGAAATTTTCCGCTAAATATAGCGGGAAAAATTTTTCCGCTAGATTTAGCGGAGAAAATTGTCCGCTAAATATAGCGGGAAAAAGTTTTCCGCTAGATTTAGCGGAGAAAATTGTCCGCTAAATTTAGCGGGACAATTTTCTGCTAGATTTAGCAGAGAAAACATTCCGCAAGATTTAGCTTAAAAATTCTCCGCTAGATTTAGCGGGGAAGCTTTTCCGCTAGACTTTGCGGCGCAAATTTTCCGATAAATCTAGCTGGGAAATTTTTCCCCTAGATTTAGCGGGGGAAATATTCCACTAAATATAGCGGGGAATATTTTCCGCTAGATAGAGCGGGGAAAATTTTCCGCTAAATTTAGCGGGGAAAATGTTCCGCTAGATTT